ATTATTTTAATGGGTTTATAACAGCTCTTTGCTTTTTTTTTTTGCTTTCAAGAGTCACTAGTCAATGATAAATAACCCCTAGTTAAATTTTAGACTTTAAGATTTTTGGCTCATGTCTGTGAGCTTATTCCATGTTCTATGCCTGTTTTCTCCCTACAGTGTTTCTAGAAACCATCTTTTCCAGGTAGTTCCATTAGGTTTCCAAAATTCAGACTTGGGCTACTGGCTAACCTTTTCTAGGTCTTTTTCAGTGCTTTTCAGAATCAATTGTTTGGTACCTCTTGGGTCACAATTTCCACTTCTTCTTCCATGTACGGGCATAAAATGTCTTTTGGTTGTTTTGTTTTTTTGGTGAAATGGTCATAAAACAGATCAAGCAGGTGATTGTTGGTAGTTTTGCCATCAACGTGAGTGCCTTCTACTTGTTTGGTTTCCTGGTAAAACTCACACAAGAGTTGGAGCAGATAGTTTTTGTACATTCACATGAGTGTTGATGTGCTCTTTCTTTTGCTTAACCCACAGAATACATTTTGTGTTACTTGTGAGATTCTGTCCGTGAATACGTCAGGTGATATTTGACCTGAACATTCTTAGTAATAGCTTGAGTTTACAAAGTGAAACCTCGTCATTCTGTGGATTTTCAGGACTCACTTCGAAAACATGGCCCTTGAGGCCATCAGATGCATTTTGGTTCCTTAAGTCCTTCCTTGTTACTAGTGTGTTTCCAGTATTAGAAACACATGTTGACTGTGACTATGCTTTTATATTGAACTGATCTTTCTTAGAAAATGGACCAACTACTTTCTTCTTGGTTCCTTTTTTCAATGCTTGTTAGGTGCTTGTTCTTGTTGACTGTGGCGGTGCTATTTTCTTATTCCTCGTGTCATATTTAGCATTTTTTAAGTTTATTGTTTGATAATCTCCTTAATGGTGTATTTTGATGTACAGAAATTTAAAAATCTATGTAGACAAATCTTTCTTTGCTTTCTATTGCTTTTGTATTTATAGTTCTTGCCTAGATAGTCTTAACTGTAGTTTAGACCTTAACAGTGTTTTCTTTTTTTTTCTTTTTTTTTTTAGTTGCAACTACTGGCCCTTCAGTATATTATAGTCAGTCACCAGCATATAATTCCCAGTATCTTCTCAGACCAGCAGCTAATGTTACTCCCACAAAGGTAACAAAGGAATAATTTATACATTTATAAGTATCTCCTTTTTAATTGTATAGGCTTCCTTCAGAAAAATTCAAGGGAGTAGTTTAGTATCAAAACTTATATCCCTTAAGATGTAGATATTTTTAATTTCTTTCAAGATACGTAAATCATACTTCTTAGTCACCTTATTTTTGTGTTACAATAAGTATGAGCATTTAGAATATTTTTTAAATGGGAGTGGTGGTGGTATTGGGTTCTTCATTATTTTGTTTCGACAGAAATAGGACTAGAATGTCCTTGCTGAATAACTATGTGGTAAGTACTTCTGGGCCTAATGTGGCTATATAACTATTGATTAATACCCAATATTGTAATGGTAGTTGAATGTGAGGGTTTGAGGACAGAGGATTGGGTTGCATTTAGACCCTTGCTGTTCTGCTTATTATGATCTTGGACAAGTTTCTTAACCTCTCCATGCATCCTTTGCCCTATATGTGAAATGAGGATGATAATAATACCTTAATTCATGGGTTTTTGATGATATTAAAATGAGATAATACATGTAAAGTGCTCAGTTGGCACATTAATAAATGTTCAGTAAATAGCAGTCATCATCATCATCATCATTAACACCATTTGATAAATTGTTTAGCATGAAGAAGATAGTTATTCTATGGATTTATTTGTAGGTTTTTAAGATGCTGTTATTAATTAATTTTCATTCTATGCCAAATATATATGCAAGTATCTTAGTAATAACGTTGCTTTCTCTTAATGATGTGCTATGTACCCTAATGATCCTCACCTAGTAGTACTCATGTTTGAGGTTTGTGAGAATTGGCTTTGTCTAGTTATCTATAGTTTTGCACACAATCTACAAAATATTTTAACTTTTTTCTTTTAGGGTCCAGTTTATGGCATGAACAGGCTTCCACCCCAGCAGCATATTTATGGCTATTCACAACAGATGCACACACCACCCATGCAAAGCTCTTCTGCTTGTATGTTTTCTCAGGAGATGTATGCTCCTCCTCCGTTGCGTTTTGACTCTCCTGCAACAGGAATTCTATCACCCAGGGGTGATGATTACTTTAATTACAATGTTCAGCAGACAAGCACAAATCCACCTTTGCCAGAACCAGGATATTTCACAAAACCTCCAGTTGCAGCTCATGCTTCAAGATCTGCAGAATCTAAGGTTATAGAATTTGGAAAAACTAATTTTGTTCAGCCCATGCCAAGCGAAGGAATAAGGCCATCTTTGACAACACCAGCACATACAACACAGCCAACTCCTTTTAAATTTAACTCAAACTTCAAATCAAATGATGGTGACTTCACATTTTCCTCACCGCAGGTTGTGACGCAGCCCCCTTCTACGGCTTACAGTAATAGTGAAAGCCTTTTAGGTCTCCTGACGTCAGATAAACCTTTGCAAGGAGATGGCTATAGTGGAGCAAAACCAATTCCTGGCCAAACCATTGGGCCTCGAAATACATTTAATTTTGGAAGCAAAAATGTGTCTGGAATTTCATTTACAGAAATGGGGCCAAATCTGCAAAAGAATTCTGGTTTTCGTCGAAGTGATGATATGTTTACTTTCCATGGTCCTGGGAAATCAGTATTTGGAACACCCACTCCAGAACTGGCAAACAAGAATCATGAAACAGATGGAGGAAGTGCCCATGGGGATGATGATGATGATGGCCCTCACTTTGAGCCTGTGGTACCTCTTCCTGATAAGATTGAAGTAAAAACTGGTGAGGAAGATGAAGAAGAATTATTTTGCAATCGTGCAAAATTGTTCCGTTTTGATGGAGAATCCAAAGAATGGAAGGAACGTGGGATTGGCAATGTAAAAATACTAAGGCATAAAACATCTGGTAAAATTCGCCTTCTAATGAGACGAGAGCAAGTATTGAAAATCTGTGCAAATCATTACATCAGTGCTGATATGAAACTGACACCAAATGCTGGGTCAGACAGATCTTTTGTATGGCATGCCCTTGACTATGCAGATGAGTTGCCAAAACCAGAACAACTTGCTATTAGATTCAAAACTCCTGAGGAAGCAGCACTTTTTAAGTGCAAGTTTGAAGAGGCCCAGAGCATTTTAAAAGCCTCAGGAACAAATGAAGCCACAGCACCAAATCAGACTATCAGGACTGTGAAAGAACCCACAAGTCATGATAGTAAAGATATTTGCAAATCTGATGCTGGAAACATGAATTTTGAATTTCAAGTTGCAAAGAAAGAAGGCTCTTGGTGGCATTGTAACAGCTGCTCTTTAAAGAATGCTGCAGCTGCTAAGAAATGTGTATCATGCGAAAATCTAAACCCAAGCAATAAAGAGCTCCTTGGCCCACCATTAGTAGAAACTGTTTCTCCTGTTAAAACTGGCCCAGAAAATGTTCAAGATAGATTTGTGTTGACACCAAAGAAAGAAGGTCACTGGGATTGTAACACTTGTTTAGTAAGAAATGAACCTACTGTATCTAGGTGCATTTCATGCCAGAGTACAAAGTCTGCTAACAAAAGTGGGACTTCATTTGTTCATCAGCCTTCCTTTAAATTTGGCCAGGGAGATCTTCCCAAGTCTGTTAACAGTGATTTCAGATCTGTTTTTTCTACAAAGGAAGGACAGAGTGTTTGCAGTTCATGTACAGTGCAAAATGAAGGAAACACTACAAAATGTGTTGCCTGTCAGAATACAGGTAAACCAAGTTCATCTACTTCTGCTGTTCCAGCTCCTGCCTCTTTTAAGTTTGGTGCTTCAGAGATAAGCAAGGCTCCGAAGAGTGGATTTGAAGGCATGTTCACCAAAAAGGAAGGACAGTGGGATTGTAGTGTTTGCTTTGTACGAAATGAGAGTTCTTCCTTAAAATGTGTGGCTTGTGATGCCTCAAAGCCAACTCATAAACCTATTGCAGAAGCTCCTTCAGCTTTCACATTGGGCTCAAAAACGAAGTTAAATAACTCTTCTGGAAGTCAGTTGGGAACAGGATTTAAAAGTAACTTTTCAGAAAAAGCTTTTAAATTTGGCAGTACAGAGCAAGGATTTAAATTTGGGCATGTGGATCAAGAAAATTCACCTTCGTTTACATTTCAGGGTTCATCTAATACAGAATCTAAGTCAAAAGAAGGATTTAGTTTTTCCATCCCTGCATCTGCTGATGGATTTAAATTTGGCATTCAGGAACCAGGAAATCAAGAGAAGAAGAGTGAAAAGCACCTTGAAAATGACACTGGTGTCGAGGCTCAGGATGTTAGTAGCCAGAAGAATGGTAGTAGTGTGATTTTTGGTCAAACAGGTAATACTTTTACTTTTGCAGATCTTGCAAAATCAACTTCAGGAGAAGGATTTCAATTTGGCAAAAAAGACCCTAATTTCAAGGGATTTTCAGGTGCTGGGGAAAGATTATTCTCATCACAAAGTGGTAAAAGGTCTGATAAAGCCAACACTTCTTCTGACCTTGAGAAAGACGATGATGCCTATAAGACAGAAGACAGTGATGACATCCATTTTGAACCAGTAGTTCAAATGCCTGAAAAAGTAGAACTTGTAACAGGAGAAGAAGATGAAAAAGTTCTGTATTCACAGCGGGTAAAATTATTTAGGTTTGATGCTGAAATAAGTCAGTGGAAAGAAAGGGGTTTGGGGAACTTAAAAATTCTCAAAAATGAGGTCAATGGCAAACTAAGAATGCTGATGAGAAGAGAACAAGTACTAAAAGTGTGTGCTAATCACTGGATAACGACGACGATGAACCTGAAACCTCTCTCTGGATCAGACAGAGCATGGATGTGGTTAGCTAGTGATTTCTCTGATGGTGATGCCAAGCTAGAGCAGCTGGCGGCAAAATTTAAAACACCAGAGTTGGCTGAAGAATTCAAGCAGAAATTTGAGGAATGCCAGCGACTTCTATTAGATATACCACTTCAAACTCCCCATAAACTTGTAGATACTGGCAGAGCTGCCAAGTTAATACAGAGAGCTGAAGAAATGAAGAGTGGACTGAAAGATTTCAAAACATTTTTGACAAATGATCAAACAAAAGTCACTGATGAAGAGAGTAAGAGTTCAGGTGCAGTTGCTGCCAGTGCATTAGACACAACAGTCAAGCCAAATCCCGAACACCCTGGGCCCACATTAGAATGGGATAACTGTGACTTAAGGGAAGACACTTTGGATGACAGTGTGAGTAGTAGCTCAGTACATGCTTCTCCATTGGCAAGCAGCCCTGTGAGAAAAAATCTCTTCCGCTTTGGTGAGTCAACAACAGGATTTAACTTTAGTTTTAAATCTGCTTTGAGTCCATCTAAGTCTCCTGCCAAGTTGAATCAGAGTGGGACTTCAGTTGGCACCGATGAAGAATCTGATGTTACTCAGGAAGAAGAGAAAGATGGACAGTACTTTGAACCAGTTGTACCTTTACCTGATCTAGTTGAAGTATCCAGTGGTGAGGAAAATGAACAAGTTGTTTTTAGTCACAGAGCAAAACTTTATAGGTATGATAGAGATGTTGGTCAGTGGAAGGAAAGGGGCATTGGCGATATAAAGATTTTACAGAATTATGATAATAAGCAAGTTCGCATAGTGATGAGGAGGGACCAGGTATTAAAACTTTGTGCCAATCACAGAATAACTCCAGACATGACTTTGCAAAATATGAAAGGGACAGAAAGAGTTTGGGTATGGACTGCTTGCGATTTTGCAGATGGAGAAAGAAAAGTAGAACATTTAGCTGTCCGTTTTAAACTACAGGATGTTGCAGACTCATTTAAGAAAATTTTTGATGAAGCAAAAACAGCCCAAGAAAAAGATTCTTTGATAACACCTCATGTTTCTTGTTCAAGCACTCCCAGAGAGTCACCATGTGGCAAAATTGCCGTAGCTGTATTAGAAGAAACCACAAGAGAGAGGACAGACTTAATTCAGGGTGAGGACGTAGCAGATGCAGCTTCAGAAGCTGGAGAAGTGTCTAGCATGTCTGAAACAACAACAAAAGCAGTGGTTTCTCCTCCGAAGTTTGTGTTTGGTTCAGAGTCTGTTAAAACCATTTTTAGTAGTGAAAAATCAAAACCATTTGCATTTGGCAACAGTTCAGCCACTGGGTCTTTGTTTGGATTTAGTTTTAATGCACCTTTGAAAAATAACAATAGTGAAACTAGTTCAGTAGTCCAGAGTGGATCTGAAAGAAAAGTAGAACCTAACAAGTGCGCACTGTCAAAGAACTCTGGTACCAAACAATCTTCAGATGGCAAAGTCAAAAATCTTTTTTCTTCTTTTCCAAAAGAAGAGTCTTCAAGTGATTACACATTTAAAACTCCAGAAAAGGGTAAGTGCTTAATTTTTAGAGTTAAGCACAATTTTTCTTTCTTTTTTTTTCTTTTAATGTTTATATTGATGCAGACTTTTTGTATAGGATACTAATGTTGGGTTAACACTGTTCAGTGAACACGAAAATATATTTGAGCAGATTTTTTTCCTCTCTAAGTAAGTTTACCTGTGAGTGTTCAAACAGCAACCGCGGTTGTGTGTAAGTTATTTAAGAGATTTCAATAACTGGAAGATGTTTATATTATGCTAAGACAGAGCACAAGAACCCAATATGGTATAAAGACCCATGTATTTGAATCATGAGCATTAACTTGAGACTTTTTTTAAGTGTTCATTTTTCAGTTTTTTATTATTCTTGTCACTTGGAGAACACAATATTGAGGTATTCACATTTTATATGTTAGTCTTGCCACCATTTATTAAAGGAGCAATGAATGAAACCACCAGCATAATTGACATGACAGCCCAGATTGGTATAAATTGAGGGACTCTGGCCTTTTGTATTTTAAAAAATGTTAAAAAATGAAATGCTCTTTATTTTCTAGGATTTAATTTTAGCCTTTTTAAATCTAATCCAATGGCCTTTTGGACCAGCACCCCTTCCTCAGAGCCTGAGAGCAAAGGTATAGCTCTAGCATTCTGAGTATGAGATGATGGCGGTTTTTAGCAGCTGATAGTCCTTAGCAAAGTAACTGTGGCTTTATGAAATTAAGTACTTAACACTACAACATGCATGTTAAAGAATGTCAGTTTAAGCAAAGTATTTTTTTGACTGGTGGGCGCAACACTCTAATGCTGATTTTGTTTTTTTTTGTTGTTAAATGTATTTGGATGTCATGTTTTCTCACTATTGCGCATTATTGTTTTTTGCTGCATTGTACTTTATTGCTCTGTTATTTTCAACTCTGCTTAATTAAGACCTATATTTTATCTAACCTTTAGCTGTTAATTTCTGCCAGTATTCAAACGTGATGGCAGCAGCATGTATCCAGTAGGGAATAGAGGGTCTCTTTAGGTCTGTTCTTTTGTACGTGTTTAGAAAAATATTGTATTTGAAAGTAGACCTTTTTTTTTTTTTAAACAACCACCTTTCTATAGCCTGTATGTTATACACACATAATCTGTAGCACAAATTGTTTGCAGAAGTAAGTGTTGCTATTAGAGTCAAACAATAAGAAGTGAGATCTGTTGAAGATCTTCAAGAGCAAGGTTAGGAAAATGAAGACTAACCGTTAGTGTCCAATGACACATCTTGAGCACACCAAACAATTACAGTGATGATGTTACAGTCCTTGATTTCCGGGGCTTTTGATGTTAAAGTATACCAATTATATTACTATCTAAGGGAGGTCTTAATCGTTTTGTTCTTAAAGATGCAGTCTTTGAGAAATCATGTGAAAAGTATAGACTTTGTAGAAAAGTAGATATATACTTGTACACAATTTCTGTGGGCTCTAGGTTAAGAATCCCTGGCGTAAGAGCAAATTTACCAGTGTGCTACTGCAGGACAAAAAGCCTTACTCTGTTTTGAATCTGATAACATCATAGTCCGAAGGGACCTTAGAAATGAAGACTTTTAGGGCCAGCCCGGTAGTGCGCCGCTTGGGAGCACAGCGGTGCTCCCACCGAGGGTTCGGATCCCACATACAGACCGGTACCCGCTCACTGGCTGAGCGAGGTGCGGGTGCGACACTGAGGGTTGCAATCCCGTTGCCGGTCCCGGTCCGGTACGGGCGCAACACTGAGGGTTGCGATCCGTTGCCGGACACGAAAAAAGACAAAAAGGAAAAAAAAAAAAAAAAAAAGAAATGAAGACTTTTAGACATGGGGAAACTGGGGCCCAGAAAGGCTATCTGACTCACCCAAGTCATTTTTACCGGTTAATAGTAGAACTGGAGAAAGAATCTGTATCTTATAGTGTTCTTTTACTGTCCCTGGCTAGGAATTGATACCACATTTTTTATTGTAATTAAGGAGAGAGGCAAGCTTAGCATTGTAAAAAGAAGAGCTCTACTGACAGCACCAAGTCAAGAGTTAAGATCCCCTTACCGGTCATCTTTATTAAAAAAAAAGAAAAGAAAAGAAAAAAAAGAGCTGTGGTTCTCTAGAATAGTGTCATTCAATAGAAACAGAATACCTGTGTATGTAATTTAAATTTTTTTCTAGTAGCTACATTAAAAAATTAAAAAGAAGCAGATAAAAAAAGGGAAAGAGATGAAATTAATTTTAATAATACATTTGATTTAACCCATTGTCCAGAATAACATTTAAACTTCTAATCAGCATAAAAAACTAATATGATATTTTATATTCTTTTTTTTCTATACCAAGTCTTCAAAATCCAGTATGTATCTTTATACTTATAGCACATCTCAGTTTGGACTAGCCACCACCTTCAAGTTTAACAGCCACATATTGTTAAGCTACCATATGGGGCAGTGTAGTTCTAGAGAGTGTTTCCCCAGCACCAATTGCTATATGGCATTCTTCATGACTGGCTTGTTTTATCAGTTCCTTTAGCCAGAAATTCTTTATAGACCAGAACAAATTGCATATAAAATTACTTTTCTCCCCCTAGGTTTTTGCCCTTTTCGTTGGCAGGGTTAGGAGTGGGCTGTTTTTCAGCTATAGAAATTTTCTTTAATTCTTACAGTATTTTATCTACCGTCATACTTGGAAATGTGCAAAACTAGATGCAACTCTAATCACCTGCCATCTTTGGCAGTTGTTAACTTTCCTCATAGGAATTAATCAAGGTTGGCTGTGGGTTAGTTTCATTTGTTTACTAACTTTTGTGTATGATTTCTTTAAGATTTTTTTCACTTGTTGCAAATGCATGGATATTTTGCTAAACAATTTTTTAGTATGTCAGATATGGTATGGCAGCACTTTTTAAAATACCTTTTTAAATTACAGAAATTAGTTGTAATTCTTTCAATGATAAGTAAAAGGATTTTTTTTTTTTCTTTTAAATAGATTCTGTGTTCACTAAGGGTTTTTGGTAGAACACTGAATCAGGCTGCTAATTCTAATTGATGATTATTATAGAGCTCTGTCTCCATCAAAGTATGTGTTTTTTTATTATGCTATTTTAACCTATAGATAAGTTTCATGGTTTTATTTTCAATTTGAATGATGTTAATACTTACTAAATCCTTTATCAATTTTTTTGACTTTTATTACAGCAAAAGAGAAGGAAAAACCTGAAGATCCTCCCTCAGATGATGATGTTCTTATTGTATATGAACTAACCCCGACTCCTGAGCAAAAAGCCCTTGCAGCCAAACTTAAACTTCCTCCAACTTTCTTCTGCTATAAGAATAGACCAGATTATGTTAGTGAAGAAGAGGAGGATGGTAAATCTTTTGTTATTCTAGAAGTACTCTTTTCCTTCCTGAGATTTTCTTATTCTCTTAAAAAAAAAAAAAAAAGAAAGAAAGAAAAAAATAAAAAATAAACACACTCTGTTCCTGCTAATCTTAGTAATTGGAAGTATGGTTTAATTATTTTAAGCCTGTCTCTTAGAACTTATCACCGATATCCTTACAGGTAGATATTTACACTAAATATATGTGTGCATAGTCAGTGCACACATATATTAGGATTAGAAGAACTGTATTTATTAAGCAAGCATGTTTTTGGATAGCAATCATGTGCCTTGCAGGTGTTTTGAGGGAACTGAAGGTAACAATTTTCCTGGAGTATTAGAGGTGTGGGAGAGAGAGAAGGTAGACAGTTTTTTCAACGATGGATAACTATGTATGCCATATCAGATTAAGTTGAGTGGTTAAATACTTAGAAAGTCTCAATAGGATCAGTTGGGCATTGGTATGAAGTACTGGGTTGTGGGTTAAGGTGATTGGAAGATGGGCTAAAATGATAGTAGAGCAACTCAAATAGGAGAGCCAGAGCTAAAGCTCTAACAGTAGGAAAGGTATTAGGGATATAGAATTGGCAAAATTGGCTGCTATTTGGATGTGGAAAATGAGGGAAAAGTGAAGTTAGAGATAATCCCTAGACTTCTGACTAGGAAAACCCCCAAAACTTACTGGAAATTTTTTTATTTAATATAATCAATTGTACTTTAAGATGAAGATTTTGAAACAGCTGTCAAGAAACTTAATGGAAAACTCTATCTGGATGACTCAGGAAAATGTAGGCCATTGGAAGAAAATCTGCCAGGTATGTTAAGTTTAAATAACTATTTATGTTCTTAACAAATCTATTTAAAAGGAAAAACCTAGTCTGATAATTTCTGTAATTATCAATTTTACTTATGAAATATACACATGGTGATTTAAAATATTTAAAAATAATATTAAGTGAAAAACATTGTTCTCTCGGTGGTCCTTGTTCTCCATTAGCATTCACAGGTCTGTAGATCACATTGAAGACAGTTGAAGATTACCATTGTAGTAGAGTAGTTGGGACTTCATCTAATTTTATCTTTTCTTTTGCTTGTGTTGTACGGATTTTTCAGGTAATGAGAAAGAATGTATTATTGTTTGGGAAAAGAAACCGACAGTTGAAGAGAAGGCAAAAGCAGATACATTAAAGCTTCCACCTACATTTTTTTGTGGAGTCTGCAGTGATACAGATGAGGAAAACGGAAATGGGGAAGACTTTCATTCAGACCTTCAAAAAGTTCAGGAAGCTCAAGTAAGAGTGTCTCCACTGTTTTCATTTGGTGTATTGCCTTTGTTGATGCAGTAAACTTCAGAATGTTCTTACTGAATGGTAATAATGGTTCCTGGCTAGCAAATGGATTAAGGGGTCTGTGAATCAGCTATATAGCCAGCAAAGAGGAATTTTATTCAACACATTATATACAGGATCTACAAGAGAACTTTAAAAAATCATGGATAGATTAATATTTTAATTCTATTTTTCCATGGACTTTTTGAAGTACCCTTGTATATGCTGAAATGCTGATGAAATAAAAGAAGATCTAAATAAATGGAGAGGCATCCTGTTCATGGATTGGAATACTCAAAATAGTTATAATATCAACTTTCCCAAAATTGATCCACAGATTTAGCATAATACCAATCGAAACCCCGCCAAGATTCATTGTAGGTATAGACAAGCCAATTCTAAAATTTCTTTTGAAAGATAGATTATACATTTGTTATAATTGATGAACCTACACTGACACATAATTATCACCCAAAGTTGTTTAGAGTTTTTGCTTTAAATGGATGTTGAATGTTATCAAATCCTTTTACTCCTCCTATCGATGTGATCATATGGTTCTTTTTATCAATTCAGTGAATGACATTGGTTTTTTGAATGTTCAGAAATCACCTTTGCATCCCTGGGATAAACCTCACTTGGTAATAGTATAATTTTTATACATGGTTGTATTCAGTTTGCATAAATTTTGTTACAAATTTTTGGATTTGTATTCATCAGGGATATTGGTCAGCAGTTTTCTGGTACCATTTTTGGCTTTCATATTAGAGTAATGCTGGTATCATAAATTGGGAAGTATTTCCTGTGCTGCTGTTTTCTGGAAGAGATTGTATCGAATTGGTGTCATTTCTCCTTTAAATGTTTGGCAGTTTTCACCAGTGAAACCATCTCAGTCTGGAATTTTCTTAAGATTTTAAAAATACAATAAATAGGTAGAGGCCTATAATAGAGGACTATTCAGATTATCTCCTTGTTCTTGAGTGAGTTGTAGTAATTCATGTCTTTCAAGGAATTGGTGTCAAATTTCTGTGTGTACAGTTCCTGGTAATCCCTTATTAATCTTTCAATGTCTGCAGGTTCAATATTGAAATGTTCCATCTTTTTTTTCTGTTATTTCTTGGTTAGTCTGGTTAGTAGTTCATCAATTTCATTGAATTCTTTTTTTCAGTAGAAACAGGTTTTGACTTTTTTTAAAATCTTTTTTTTCTGTGTTCAGTTTCATTGATTTCTGTTCTTATTATTTCCTTCTTGCCTTGGGTTTATTTTGCTCTTTTTTTAGTTTCTTAAAGTAGAGGCTTAAATTACATTTAAGAACATTTTTTATTTCTAATAAAAATATTTAGTGCTATAAGTTTCCCTCTAAGTGCTGTTTAGCTGCGTCCCACAACTTTTAATATGTGGTATTTTCACTTTCATTCTGTTCAAAATTTAAAAAATTTTCCTTTGGACGTTCTTTTTGATGTGTACAATAGAAAGTAGTATAACATTTCCAAATATTTGTTATTTTCCAGGTATCATTCTGTTCCTGATTTGTAGTTTAATTTCATGATGGTCCATGAACATATTTTTTTTTTTTTGTCTTTTTTCCGTGTCCGGCAACGGATTGCAACCCTCAGTGTTGCCCTGTCTTTTTTTCCGTGTCCGGCAACGGATTGCAACCCTCAGTGTTGTCCCCGTACCGGACCGGGGACCGGCGACGGGATCGCAAGCCTCGGCGTTGCTCCCGCGCCTCGCTCAGCCAGTGAGCGGGAGCCGGTCTGTACGTGGGATCCGAACCCTCGGACGGGAGCGCTGCCGCGCTTCCCAAGCAGCGCACTATCCAGTGCGCCACCGGGCCGGCCCGTATGAACATATTTTGAATATTATCAGTACTTATAAATTTAGTGAGATCTGTCTTGATGAATGTTCCAATGTGCACTTGGGAAGAATGTGTAGTCTACTGTTTTTGTGTGTGGGTGCTCTATAGATTATATGAGTAATATACATACAAATGTAACAGAAACTAGAATTACTATTTTTTTCATTTCAAGGAAATATAGAAGCATTAGAACTATATAGGTTTTTAACACTCCTCCAGTATGATGGTTATCATGTATTACATCCACATACACCCAAAATCCTATCAGTCACATTTTGCTTTCACCATATGTTCTTGTGAGCCTAAAAGGTGAACAATAGTTTTTTTACCCAGTTTTTTTTTTTTAACAACTTTTGCTGTTATTCCTTTATTCCAAGTATTCTAGGATTCCCTCTGTTGTCTTGCCTTCTACCTACAGAACTTTCATTAGTATTTCTTTTAATGCAGGTATACTGGTGACATTTTCTTAGTTTTTCCTTGTCTGAGAACGTCATTATTTTTCCTTCACTCCTAAAAGGTTATTTTTGGTGATACAGGATTCAATGTTGACGATTTTCTTTCAGCACTTAAAAAATTTTTCACTGTCTTTTGGCCCTCATGGTTCTTTGTGTATTTTGGACATAAGTGTCTTTATCAGGTATATATGTTGCAGACATTTTCTCCTAGTATGTGGCTTGTCTTTTCGTTCTCAACATTGTCTTTTAGAGAGCAGCAGTTTTTTTTTTTTTTTTTTTTAAAAGATGACCGGTAAGGG